CTGTAGTGACGGCAAATGATGAAAGTTTTGTTCTTTTAAATCAAATCTTCATTCAGCCAACTTTGAAAGACAAAATGCGAGATGCATTGCCACGTGATGCACAATTTTGAAAAACATTCAACCAGAAGAATGCAGAGCAAGTGGAGAAATATGCAATCGATGAAGAAAAATTGTTGAAGTACAAGGGTAGAATTTGTATTCCTGATGTGAATGATTTATGAAAAGAAATCCTGCATAAGGCACATTATTCCAGATATACAATACATCCAAAAAGCAATAAGATGTATCAGGAGCCAGAGTTGAAGTGCAGTGTAGCGGAGTTTGTAGCAAAATGGCCTACTTGTCATATGATTAAGGCTGAACATCGAACGTCTGGTGGGTTATTACAATCGTTGCCTATACTAGAGTGAAAATGGGAGGACATTGCTATGGACTTTGTGACAGAGTTAACCGAGACCAAGGTCGTGATGTCGTATGGGTGATTATTGATCGTTCGACCAAGTCTGCACATTTCTTGCCTATCAAACAGATAGATTTTGAGGACAAGTTGGCAAAAATTTATGTTGATGAAATTGTGTGACTGCATAGAGTCCCAAAATCTATTATTTTAAATCGAGATAGTAGATTTACATCTAGAATGTGAAGGAAGGTTCAAGAGGCTTTAGGCACTCAACTGACATTCAGTACGACCTTTCATCCCCAAAAAGGCGGTCAATCAGAGAGAACGATCCAAATATTGGAAGACTTGCTTCGACTTCGTGTCCTTCATTTTCGGGGAAACAAGAAATTGCATATACCTCTAATAGAGTTACAATAATAACTTCCATACCAGTATTGGTATGGATCCTTATGAAGCCCTTTATGGACAAAAATGTTGGACACCTCTGTGTTGGATAATAACAGGTGAAAAAAAATTAATTAGTGTTGATTTAGTTGATGAAACAACTGAGATGATCCGGTTGATTTGTGACAGACTGAGAGCAGTCTGGGATAGATAGAGAAAGCATTATTGCCCTAAGCACCGAATAGTAGAATTTGAAGTCGGGAATTTGTTTTTTTTTAAAGGTCAGCTTGATGAAGGGTGTCAAGCGGTTTGGAAAATCTAGGAAGCTGAGTCAACAATATGTTGGTCCATATGAAATCGTAAGAAAGATTGGAAAAGTGATATGCAAAATTGCACTATTAGCACACCTGTACGGGGTACATAATGTATTTCATATACTATTTGCGGAAGAATATTGTTGATAAGGCTAGCAAACTTGTTACCGGCCCCATAGATATTCAACCCGACTTGTAATTTGTGGATTAACAAGAAAAAATCACAAATTATGATGTGAAGCATCTCAGGTGCAGAGAGATTTCTTTTGTTTGTGTATTATGGAACCAAGAACTGAAAAAGATGTCACATGGGAAAAAGAATCAGAAATGAGAGAATATTCTCATTTGTTCAATTAAGGTATGAAGTTTAACCATGCACATTAAATTTTCATAACAAAATTTTTATAATGAGGGAAGATTGTAATAAAAATAAAAAAAAGTATTTTTTCTTAATATTAAAAAAAAGAATAATAATAATAATATTAAAAAAAAAAACAGTTCGTGCAGGTGTCTTTTGAACGAGGAGTTCACCACTCAAGGTAGAGTCCAATTATGGTTATTACTTTGACACCCCCTCCCCCTCATTTGAGCTCACACTCAACAGGCACGAGAGAAGCAAATGGAGTGTGAGAGACCGAGAGAGTGGCATAGAGGAAGAAGAAGTCGAAGGAGAGAGAGAGGAGGAAGAGGAAAAAGCTGGAGGAGAAGGAGAAGGAGAAGAAGAAGCTGCAGAATAAAGAGAAGAGGAAGAAGGTAGAGGAGAGAAACAGTCACCTGCTACGATCATTTTCCTCCACTAATCATGATTGAATTGAAAGGAAGAAGGCTCGAACAGCTCGGTTGAGTGTCGCAAGCAGCAAAGGAAAGAATGAAGAAGAAGGGGAAACTCGATCGACTGTATGGATGACTCAAACGGCCCTAATTGAGCGAAGAAAAAGAGGGTAAGGCATTCGTGCCCTAATCGAGCCGCACAACAGGATGGAGAGCTTGTGCAGCTTGTAAGAACCTCGATCGAGAGCTGGAAGAGGGAGGAGATGATGGGCTCTCTCTATCGTGCAACTCGCAGAGGAAGAAGGAGGCAGCTATTCAACTTATGTGGCTCACAGAGGAAGGAGGAGGAGAAAGAGGGACTCGTGGGACTTGCAAAAAGCTTGACCGACAACTTGGACAGGAAAGAAGGTTGTCGAGATCCTTCTCGCTTGCGTGAAATGCTGGAACAAAGCCCATTTGGTTCGATTCGCATGACTTAGGGGCAGCTAGAGGAGAGTTTACAAGATAAAGTAATAATTTATTGAATTATTAAGTGGTTAATAATTAAAAATGAAATCATAAACAATGTATATTAAATTGATTTCAAATTGTTAATATTTGTTCAAGGTAATTGGTTAAAAGGGTAAATCAAGAAAAGAGAACTTTTTTGCGGAAAAAAAATTTAGGTATAAAGTTCAATTTCAAAAATTTATTATCTCCTTCAAACTTAATGAATGCTAAAATGAAATAAAGAACCTTAAATTTAAAACTTATTTAAGTCACTTTTAATGTTAGGTGCACTGATGAAAATTTTAAAAGCATAGCATAAAAATTAAATTGGATATTTCTACATATATATGTATTTCTGGTTTGCTCATATATATACACACATATATATATATATATGTACAGTTCTCTTTTTTATAGGTAAATAAAGAGCTTATGAAGAGTTCTCTTTTTTATAGGTAAATAAAGAGCTTATGAACCTAATGAAAGAAAATCTAGAAACAATAAAAGAGAAGATTAGCACTGAACAAGAAATTAATTACATTTAAATTGTTATTATAAGTGCATCTAAGGACTAGACTAACCTAAGAAAAAGGAGAGCACACGACACAGTTGAGGTGAGTAATATGTTTTTATTTTGCAATATTTATGTTTCTTTACATATATTTTTACTATTTTCTCAGCTTTTACTTTAAAATGAAAAAGTTTATATCTCTTTTTAAATGTTAAATGCAAGTTCTCTTTTAAATGTTTAATGCAAGAAAAAAATGAATAAAATACCACACATACATGCATGTAGGAGTCACCCCGTGATTATACTAGCAGGGGAATGCATTGTACCCGTGCACGAAATGGAAATGGAAATGAACATGATTGTCTAGCTTTATGATGGGTTGAAAAAGTTAAATGCATATTTTATTAAGTATACGTTTAAATGATGACTCCCAATTATGAAAACTATAACCTAAATAACTAAAAGAAAATGAAATTTATTTTCTTTAATGCTCCCTTATATTGTTACCGAACTTTTACAAATATATTTTTAAATGAGAATTATTGTAATTTAGAAATATTTATTCGTTGAGTAGTTTTAACTCAAACTATAGTTGCTAACTTTTTTAGAAGAAAACCAACTGTAGATTAGATGAACCCCAGAGAGTACATGTACAGGTGTTGTAAAGCGCAAGCTGATAGGTATTGTGGTTAAATTTTTTTTATGTTTGAATGTAAACATTCAAATATGAACAATCTATTCTAAATATAAGTTTTATGAATTAGAATGACTCTTTGGTATTCGGGATTTTATTTTTTTGATAAAATGAGACTGTTAGATATGTTTCCTCCGTCTGACCGCCAGTTCCCGCCTTGAAAATTCCAAGCACACCAGGTCTCGTCATGACCAAAATTCCAAATTCCACTATTGAAGCCCATCTAGATTGCGCATGTTCGCGATCCTGCTCACCTGCTCATTCCAGCGAAGGTTTGCAGGCTCCCTTCTCTCGCAAAGGTTCTCCCGATTTCGCAAATTTTTTAAGGTTCCATCGAAGCGCCCTGAATCGAGGGGCAGTTTAGCTCCCGAGTTAGGGCTCTTGTCGCGCCTGCGTCACCCGAGATATCTAAAACGTTCACACTTTTTAATTATTTGATCACCATAATTACAATTGTCACTAAAGCTATTACTATAAAACTTATAGTGCATGTACTCAGTTTTAAATCTACTCAAATGAAAGCCTTTAGACTCAAATGTAAACCTCCATAATTCAAGTTTTTTCTGGGGTTCTGAACTATTTCTCTAGTCTTATCCACAAGAAGAATATCATCAGCGAAAAGCATACACCAAGGTACATTCTTCTATAAATTTCCGGTAAGAGCATCCATGACTTAAGCAAAAAGGTATGGGCTTAAAGTAAATCTCTGATGTAATCCAGCTGAAATAAGAAAATATTTAGTTAATTTTCCTTCTACTCGAACACAAGTAACAGCTCTAGAATACATATCTTTAATGACTTGAATGAAAGTCATATCAACACCTTTTTTTTATAGAACTCTCCAAAGGACTTCTCTTCGAATTTTATTATAAGCCTTTTCTAAATCAATAAAAAACATATGTATATCCTCCTTACTCAATTTGTACTTCTCCATCAAACTTTTCAATAAACGTATCACTTCCATAGTAGATTTGTCCGGCATAAATTTAGACTGATTATGAGAAATCTTTGTATCGCATTTTAGTCTATGTTCTACTACCCTTTACTATAATTTAAAAATATGACACATCAACTTAATTACTTAATAATTAACACACTCATGTGCATCCCTTTATTCTTAAAAATAGGGACAATAATTAACACACTCATGTGCATCCCTTTTTTCTTAAAAATAGGGACCATAATACTCTTCCTCCAATCCTCCTGAATCTTTTTAGTTTCAAAAATAATATTAAAGAATTTAGTAAGCCAAGAAACACCCAAATCTCCTAAATATTTCTACACTTCAATTGGGATAATATCAGATCCAACCGATATTCCAACCTTGATCTTTCACAAATGATTTTCTAGAAGAAAACAAAAAATAGCATGAATATAATTAATTGTGTAGCATCATTTATCTAAAAAGTATGTAACAAGAAATATCACTGAACTTACAGATTTAGCAGTTTGGAAGGAGCAGCGCGCAAAATGACCAATACTTCCTTCCAACTCCATTTGCATTTTGATAAAGGTTCAAGTCTTTGCAAAATTGATAAGCGCCATTCCCAATCTTCAATAAATTTTTGAACAGAACTGACCCTCCATTCTAAAGCCTGCCTTCCAGTTACTGGCATGCCACTGTTTAACCAGGGTTGTACTTCATCTATGTTTGGTAGATTGTGACGCAGTATATCTAGTAAGAGCCTGATAAAGGCAATCATCTTATTCCCACCCTCATATGCATTAATGAAATCAGGTAGTTCACGGTAGTTGGGATGGCTTGACGCAACATGTGTAGGCTTAACAGATATGTCATCCATATGCAGTAATGAACTAACAATGCTAATAACATAAATCTGCATCAAATAAAATGACATTAATTAGGTCACAGAAAAGTTCTTCCATTGGGTGATATGCCCTCCAGAAAAAATAGGAGACTAGAAAAGTTCTGCAAGGGATTTTTAAGCTCCATACACCACATAAAAAAAAAGAAAATAATCACACACACACACACACACTAGCACATTGAAAGGATAAAGATATAATATATATATATATATC